GCTGCTCCGGGTGCAACCTCCGGGACTCTCTGCTGCTCCCTCCAGCTGGAATTGAACAGCACCGGGAATTTCAGGAGCTGCAGGGAGAGCGTTGCCCGCTCCTGGCACGGGAAATCCCAGGAAATTTGGGGAAAAAAGGGAATTTTGGTGCTTTATGGCCCACGTAGAGGGAGAGCCTGGAGGGCGGAAAGGTTGTTCCCTCCTGAAATTCCCTGGTTTTCCCAAGGCAGGAATTCAGGGTCTCATTTGTGTCACAAAATCGGACTCCGGGGTCCAACCCCGTGGGAAAAGCAGGATTGAACCCCGGGATTTGGGAGTGGCTCAGCCCCAAACCCATCCTGGGGGATGAGGTCCCGGAATTCCCATTCCCGATGGGAAATCCGGCGGTGCCGTTGCCCCTCTCCCCTCTGGAATTGTCGCTCTCCCGGTGCTTTCCCCACCCCATTTGCGATTTCACGGCCCCTTGGCTTTGTTTGGGGATGGATGATAAAATTCCCCAGGCTCCAGGAAAAGTTGGGAATGCCGTGGCTGCATCCCACAGATCCGGCTTGAGCTCCAGGTCCGGCCTTGGAAAATCCTGGATTTACCTCCAGAGAGTGGGAATCTGCTCCAAGAGAAACCCTTTAAACCCCACAATTTTTTTTTTTCTTTAGGCTTTCCCACTTTCTCCTTGAATTTCCAGTAGTGGGAAAAGAAATATTAGACATTTCCCTAAAATTCTTATGGAATTCCATGCCACTGGCTCATCCCTGCCCCTTTTCCTGCTCCTCAGAGGGGTTTTTCCACACATTTGGAAGATTTCGGGACAGGAATTCTGCTGCTTTGGGGAGGCATCCAGGGATGGATTTTTCCACGGAAAAGGAAGGAGGAGGGAAGGCTGGGAATTCCAGGGAGTGTTTTCCACAGCAGGCTCTGGGGTCAGGAATCATTTTGGGAAGGTGTTTAGGGAAGGAATTTGGGGAAGGCATTTTGGGAAGGTGTGAGGTGCTTGGAGCAGGATTTTGGGGAAGATGCTTTGGGAAGGAGCTTCAGGAAGCGTTGGGAAGGTATTTGGGGAATGTTTTTGGGGAAGGCATTTTGGGAAGGTGTGAGGTGCCTGGAGCAGGTGTTTCAGGAACATTCTTTGGGAGCAGTTTTTGGGAAGATGCTTTGGGAGAGCGAGAGGTGCTTTGGGAAGATCCTTTTGGGAGCCACTTCAGGCAAGAATTTTGGGAAGAGCCTTCAGGAAGGGCCTTCAGGAAGATGCTTTGGGAAGGTTTTTGGGAAGGGGAGTTGGGACAGCGTGAGGCGCTTTGGGAGCCACTTGGGGCAAATATTTTGGGAAGACCCTTTGGGAAGGGACTGAAAAAGTATTTGGGGAAGGTATTTGGGAATGTTTTTCGGGAATGTTTTTCAGGAAGGTTTTGCAGGATGGGGAGATTTGTGTGAGAGATTCAGGAACCTGCTGTGGGAAGAAGTTTTGGGAAGGTATTGTGGGAAGATTTTTTGGGAATGTTTTTGGGGAAGCTGCTTTGGGACGGGGAGATTTGTGTGTGAGAGATTCAGGAACCTGCTGTGGGAAGAAGTTTTGCGAAGGTATTGTGGGAAGATTTTTTGAGAATTTTTTTTGGGAAGCTGCTTTGGGACGGGGAGATTTGTGTGTGAGAGATTCAGGAAGCTGCTCTGGGGAGGTTTTTTTGGGAATGCTTTTCGGGAAACTGCTTTGGGACGGGGAGATTTGTGTGTGAGAGATTCAGGAAGCTGCTCTGGGAAGAAGCTTTGGGAAGAAGTTTTGGGAAGATGCTTTGGGAAAGCGACTGGGGCCAAGCCCAGGGACATGCAGGGGGGAGGAGGGAACAGGGACAGGAGGGGACAGGGACAGGAGGGGATAGGAAGGGGACAAGGACAGGAGGGGACAGGAGGGGACAGGAAGGGGACAAGGACAGGGAGGGGACAGAAGGGACAGGAGGGGACAGGGACGGACAGGAGGGGGACAAGGATAGGGAGGGGACAGGGACGGACAGGGAGGGGACAGGAGGGGGACAAGGACAGGAGGGGACAGGGACAGGAAGGGGACAAGGACAGGAGGGGACAGGAGGGGACAGGAAGGGGACAAGGACAGGGAGGGGACAGAAGGGACAGGAGGGGACAGGGACGGACAGGAGGGGGACAAGGATAGGGAGGGGACAGGGACGGACAGGGAGGGGACAGGAGGGGGACAAGGACAGGAGGGGACAGGAAGGGACAGGGCCAGCTCCACCTGCCGCCTCCTGCAGTACCCGCGGCCGCCACCGGGTGGGGCCGTCGGGCCGGGAGCGAGCGGCGGGCGCGGGGGGCGCTCCGGGCCGGGCTCGGGGGGCTCCGGGCCGGGATGCACCAGCCCCGGGAAAGGATCCCCGCTCCAGAGGGGGAGATCCCACCCTGGGGAGACGCGCGGGGGGAAAGGAGGAGTCCCCGCACCGGGATGCGCCGCGGTGGTGGCGGGGATTCCCACGGGACGTGGTTTTGGGGAGGGGGTTTCCATCGCCGGGAATGGGGAGCGGGACAGGGGATGGGTGTGCGAGGATGCGGGAATTGGGATGCTCCGGGGGGATCCGGCGGGGAAGGGGGTCCAGCTTGGCTCCCCCCAAAGCTAAAAGGGGTTCGGGGACACCCCCGGCCCCTCTTCCCTGCGCTCCCCGCGGGAGCAGAGCGGACCCGGGCGGGGAGGGGTCGCAGGGGAAGGGGGCACTCAAAGAACTTTTGTTTTTCCTGTAATCCGAAGCAAATGCGTGGCTGCGAGCGGGCGGCCCCGGTACCTGCTGCCATCCCGGGGGGCTGGAAAAAGGGAATTTTGGGGGGATTGGAGCGTCCTGGACAGTGGGGACAGCCCTGGGAAAAGCGGCGTCACCCAGCCTGGCCTGGGAATCAGCGGGGAGGGGCAGCAGGAAAATCCCCCCCTCCAATAAAATAAACTAGAGCAAGACCCCAAAGTGTGGTGGGGGCGAGGGGGAAATCATTGCGAGGTTAATTATCACTGGTAATTAGGGGAGGGTGTTTAGGATTAGTGCAAAGGGGGAGATAATTGGGGGGGCAAATCCTGGTGGGGGCAATTCTGTAATGGGGGAAATCTGGGAAATAAGGGGGAAAGGAGGGGGGGTCGGGATCGTCAAAGGGGGAGGGAAATTATTCCCGGGAGGAAATTATGGAAGGGGAGCATCTATAGACAGGGAGAAATTAATGGGGAGGGGGGAAAAAAAAAATCAATGATTGGGGTGAATTAATGTCAGGTAAATCTGTGCCTGGGCGGGGGCAGAGAGGGAAATCAAGGACAGAGAAAATAATTAGGGGATGAATTGTGGGGAGGGTCATTGAAAAGGGGAATTGACTGCGGGAATTCCTGTGGGGAAGAAAATTTTGCCGGGTGAAGCGTTAAGGGTTAAATATTGGGGGGGCAAATCAAGGATTAAATGGGGGGGGGGTTGTGACAATGAGGGAAAAAAATCAAGGATTAAATATTGGGGGGACAATTCCAAGGGGATCACTTGGGCGGGGTGGTGGTGGCAAAGGGCAAAACATCAGGATTAAATATTGGGGGGAACAATCCCAGGGGGATCAAATCCCGGGGGGTTTGGTGTGGTAAAGGAGCAAGGATTGAGTATCGGGGGGACAATCCCAGGGGGATCAAATCCAGGATTGAGTATCGGGGGGGACAACCCCAGGGGGATCAAATCCAGGGTGAGGTAGTGGTCAGAAGCGGGGGGGACGGGGCGGCGGGGGGGGGGGCGGGGGGGGGGGGGGGGTGTTGTGGCACGGGGAAAAGGATCTCGGGCTGAGCACTGAGGAGACAATCCCGGATTAAATACCGGGGGGACCCTCGCCTGGGGTGGGGGTGTCACTGCGGGTTGCGGGGGGACAGCTCCCGGCTCCCGCAGATCCCCTCCAAGGGTTAAGGCGGGCGGGGGTCCGGCGGGGCTGAGCCGCGCTCGTCTCTCCGCAGGCCGGCGGCGGCGAAGGAGCAGCAGCGGGAGGAGGAGGAGGAGGAGGAGAAGAGGAGGAGAAAGAGGAGGAGGAGGATGAGGCCGAGCAGAGCGGCGTGACCGAGCCGCGGGCTCCGCGCCAGGGCTCGCACGCTCCAGCGCCGCGTCCCCCGGGCCGGCCCGGCCCCCCCGAGCCTCTGAAGTGCGGGTGGGGGCGCGGGGGGAGCAGCGGCGCTGGCGGCCGGCCCAGCCCCGGCTTCCCCGCCTCTATATAAACACACATTTGACTTTCTTTTGCCTCAAAGCGAACAGTGCAGAGGGGGCTTTGCCCAGCAGCCCTGCCTCCCTCCTTTTTTTTTTTTTTTTTTTTTTTTTTTCCTCTCCTTCCCTCCTCTCTTCCTCCTCCTTACAGAAGTCTGGTGAAAAGTCTGGGGCTCCCAAATAAGCGGCGTCGCGAGAGATCTGTATTTATAGGGAGATATTTATATATATGTAGAGATAGAGCTATAAACCGAACCGGCTCGCTGCGTGTGTGTAGATACATATATACAGCTATTTAATTCTTCCATCTCTCCAGCTCGTGGCTGAATTATTTTAAGATTTTTTTTAACTTTTTTTTTTAAAGTCTCGCTCCTTTTCCCCCCCCTTTTTTTTTATGTGGCTTTGCCTTGCAAGCGAGCGGGAGCCAGAGCATCTGCAGTTGGACTTTTTGGGGTCTTTTTTTTTTTTTCCGTCAGAGGAGGAGGAGGAGGAGATTCCTTTTTTCTTCTTTTTTTTTTCTTTTTTTTTTTTTTTTTTTTTTTTGGCTAATTTTCACCCTCGCCTTTTTCCCTCCTCATCACCCCCACCCCATTTTATTTTTTTGGGGAGGGGGCGCGCTGATTTCCCCTTTTCCCCCCCCTTTCCCCTCTCCTCCCGTGCGCGCGTGGTGCTTTTTCTCCCTGTCACTCTGTCAAGTTTCCCCCAAACAAGCCCAAACTTCGCAGCGAGGGGCAGAGCCACCACAGCTTTTTTTTTTTTCTTCCCCTCTAAATTTTTTTTTTTTTTTTTAAATTTTAAATTTTTTCCTCCTTTCCCCTCGCCGCTTCCCCAACCTGCCAGCTCGGAGGGGGGCGAGCCGGGGCCCCCCTCGCCCCAGGACCCCCCAAGCAGCGCCGAGCGGGCGCTCCGCACTCGCCGTCTCCCCGCGCGTGTGTGTGGGTGCGAGCGTGGTGCCTGTCAAGGGGCCGTTTACTCTCCCCACCCTCCTCCTCCTCCCTTCTTTCCAAATATGCTTTTTGCAAGTTTTGATCTCGTCTCGGCACTGGCTACCCTCGCCGCGTGCTTGGTGTCACTGACTTTGCTGCTGGCCGTGTCCCAACAGCTGTGGCAGCTCCGCTGGGCTGCCACCCGCGACAAAACCTGCAAGCTACCAATCCCCAAAGGCTCCATGGGATTCCCTTTAATCGGAGAGACCTTCCACTGGCTGCTGCAGGTAAGGAGGATTCCCTGCTCCTCGCTGGAGCCTGCCTCGGGACCGGTTGGGTGGTGGTTTTTTTTGGTTTTTTTTTTTTTTTTTTTGTGCTTAATTTTTTTTTTTTTTTTTCCCTCGAATCGGTATCTTTAAAGGGTCTTTTTAGCGCTTTTTCTCGCTGGATTTTTTGCCTTCCCCTCCGTCTTCTTTCCCTTCCGATTGCATCATGCGGCTTCTCGGCGAGCCGCGGAGGGAGAGCCGGAGCCGGGGCACCGGGAGCACCGGGGGAACGCGGCCGGGCCGGGCTGGGCTCGCCCCGGGCTGCCCGGGCTCGGCATCGCCGCTGCGCTGCCCACCCCCTTCTCCTCCTCCCCTCCCCAGCCTCAATTCTTGCCAAAAATCCGAAATCCGCAGCGCCGGAGCGGCGGGCGGAGGCGGCCCGGGCTGGGCGCGGGGGCTCCGCCGCTCGTGTCCCCCCCGAGCCGCGGCTCCTTCCCGTCCCTTCCCCGCTCCCGGCCCGGCTCCCGCGGCGGGGGAAGCCCGCCGAGGTAATCGGGAGATTAACCCGGGATTAACCTCGCTAAACGCCCAACAGCGGCGGGCGGAGCGGGATCCCCCCCGCGCCGCGGAGCTTCTGCCAAAAAAAAACCGGGGGGAAAGGGGGGAAAAAAAAAAAATCCCACGGGAGGAGAGGCAGGAGGCGGCCGGGGGGTGCCCGGCTCCGGGGGGAGCTGCGGGCAGAGCTCGGGGCGTCCCGGGGCTCGCAGCATCCCGGCAGGGAACCCCCGAGGCGAAGCCGCGCCAGGGTTTCCCCCTCTCTCCTCCCAGCAGCAAAAAGGGGGAAAAAAAAAATAATTATAATAATCAAAGGAGGATGCTCCCGCCCTTCACGGCCGCAGCCGGCGGCGGGGCAGGACAGCCCGGTCCCGGCGGGGTCCCCCGGTGTCCCCCGGTGTCCCCCTCCCCCCCGCCGGGGAAGCCCCGCCACGGCGGCCCCGCTCCGCCGGCCGCCCCCGGCGCCGAAGGGGTTAACGGCACGCTCTCAATAGGGCTTTATTTTTTAAAGAAATTTATCAGATTTTTACAGGGGGACCAGAAAAGGGGTTCTCGCTTTTCCACAGGCTCCGTGCAAACAGAGTCCAGGGCTAAAAATACAAAATTTTTTGTATAAATTGGACTCCGTTCGCAACTTGTGCCGCATAAAGGTGCTCTTTGTGCTGCCCTGGAAATGGTGTACAAATAACTCTTTATTAATGCCACAAAAAGGACTTTAATTATATTTACGCAGATCAAGAAACAGGGTCACCTGAACATCTGAACCTCACAACCGCGCTTTTGTTTCAAAATAAACACCCGCGCTCCCAGCCCGGCGGCGCGGCCGCGGAGCTCGCAGCGCCTCTCCCCGCTCGCCGGGAGGGTTTTTTTTTTTTTTTTTTTTTTTGGGGGGCCCCCCCCCCCCCCGCTATTGCTGCGGCTCCGCCGACAAAAGCCCCTGGAGCATGTGGGAAAGTTATTAAAGTCCCTGAAATCTGGAGATTTACTTAGGCAAAGCGCTGCCTTTCTCGAGTAAAATCAGCCCGAGCGAGGAGGGAGGGGAGAAAAAAGGGGGAAAAAAAAGACAAAAAGCGAGGGGGGAAAAAGGGGGGAGGGTGTGAAGGAGGGGTGGCAGTTTTGTGTTCCCCCTGGGATGCCCTTTTCAGCTGCAGTGCACCTGGAGCCCTGG